GTTATCAAATTTTCTTTTATTTACTGAACGAATAATTGCATTACCAAAAGTGTAATTATTTTCATAGCAAAAAACAAACATCCAAAACATACAAAATGTTTTGTGTTTGCCTAGAAATCAACAAAATGTGTATGGGAGCTATGGAGACCGGTTTTGCCATGGTTTTCCGGATCCAATATCGGTATTTGTAGTAACTCGTAAATACCCTCCCCCCTATATTGTATCTCTTTTTGAAAGTCGCACCATGGGCGGAATTTATACCTTATTGGGCACATAGCCAGAATGTGTCTAGTTTACTAGACTCACACAATGGTATACATTTAGAATTGGTAATAAATAAAATAAATAAATATGCTTATTTCTTGTTATAATCGTAATGAAACTTTCCAAAACTCATTTTTTCATTAAAAAAAAAAGTAATATCCATCATGTTTCACATCATTCTGAGGTCATAAAGACAAAGTTTCAACACAAAAGTTTATATTGTTGGACATTTTTGATAATTTTACTTAACTTTTGTATGGGAAGTATATCTAGAGAATAACTTCAGATTCGGTTTTCTCGTCATAAAAAAACATCAATACAAATTTTCAATACGTTTTGAAGGTGCGTGTCGTAATTATTGTTTTATTTCAATTTGAGTAGAATCCTAGTATTTTTAGATATTGTTTTTTTAAGTGGGGTATGATAAATAAAGAAGAATTCATCTTATGAAGACAAACCTTTGGAACCTGTGGAATGTAGGATGCGAAGTCGCGCGGAAGCGGCCTATATTCGATGACGAAATATGTGCTTTACCTGATGGGAGTAACGTATGCTACGGAAATTCAGGAGAGCCAATGGTCATCCAGAACAAATTTGTAGGTATTCTCAAGGGTGGTATTTGCCGCAAAAATGCACCAGCTCAGCTGTATTTGATAGAATAGATCACCACCACGTGTGGATCATTAATAAAATGCACGAATTAAACCAGCAGTAAAGAAAGTAGCATAGTGTAAACATTTCTGTTAAAGAAATATAATAAATATTTCGTCGATTTTTTTCAACAAATATTTTTTTTTTTTCAATTCTTTTTTGCTTAAAAATTCAAACAACGAAATGAAAAATTCTATCGAATATTTTTGGACACATACACACACGCAACGTGTAAGTCATAACGCATTGTTACACGTATGTACATTTTGGATTTTCAAGCTTATTCACATTTGTGCGTTTTCTTTTGCGACTCGTTTTTATTCAGTTCCTTTTTTACTACTAATGAAGATCTTTTCTTTTTGCGAATCGTGAGCTTATTAAGCTATTTCCAAATGGGAATTCGAATAAGGATAGTTTTTGTCTTCGAGAAAGAAACAGCCACAGAGATTATGACATATAAGAAAAAGAAGACAATGACATCCAGAAGATTTATGGGTTTGTTTGAAGAATATGCACAAATTTCATTGTTCCGTATTGTGAATATGTTCAACTTTTTTTGCATGAAATTACGATGATACAGTCCAGAGATCCGTTGATCTCATCTGTAGAGACATTGACTTTTCATGGATATTCGTATGAGATTATGCAGCATTCTTAGTATAGTCATTTAATCCATCGTCGAAATAATAGCACAAAAATAGTTTCATCTTACTTAGTAGCTCCGGTTTTCGTATTCATTCACCGTAAAATGAAATAATGTTTGAAATGTATTCCATTCGGAGTCGAGCAATTGATATCTGTACAGATGAAATTCACTTGATTTAATTGTATTTAACTCTAGTTACGAATAATGAAACAATAATGATTGCCTGGCTGGATATTTGACAAGGTAAAGTCTTGATAAATCCAAAGGTAGTTCGAAAAAAGACGACATATATACAACGATCGGGAGAAAAGTTATTCAATTAAGTAAAATTTGTTAAGGTTGCCAACAGAATCAAAAAGTTATAGCGAAGAACGAAAGACCAAGACGAAAAGAATGAAAAAAACCACATTACTAATCCATTTCCAGCTAACTGCTTTGGGCCATGATACCTTTGTCATCGTCATTATTCAATGCTTTTAATCAAAATACTTAAGCAATGTAGCAAAGGAAGCTCAAAATAATCTGTAGGTATGGAGGTAAAAATAGAATTCATAATATTAATTACATGTCGATGTCATTACTGAACACAGGGGAAAAAAGAGGGCGAGAGAGAGAGCTAGAAACATACCACGGCATGCAAACAAAGCGCGTTTTTAGTCGACGGAAAGTAAACCCATACGAACATTCATCAAAAAAACCACACTCACGCAACTCTGGTTTCATGTAAGAGAGAACGAAATGAAGAACGACGATGACGATGATAACGAAAAAAAAACGTCCAACTCAACCGCACATTATTAAATATGCCAATTGAACTGAAAATACTTGAACATTTTGTAGTAAATTCTAAGTCATGTCCATTACGTTACCTACAACATTTGTGTGTATAATTGCATTGTTGATTTTCAATTCAACTTGACAAGTACATGGGGCAAGTCATTCGACTTGAAAAATCACATCGTTATATTGTACGAACACTTAGGAGAGAGACTTGTGTTTTTGTTACGTCAGTGATAATTTCTCGCCTTCGTTTCTTTTTTGAATTTCTTAAAAACACCGACACCGTAATATCAAATTCGAAACGAAAAATTAATAATAAAAACACTTGTCGGCATGAATGGAATCTCACACCAGCATTCGGTTGCTAGCTCCATCAGTCGGGACATTAATCGTGTCTGCGAGTACAATTAACAACTAACAGAGATTTCCGATTGTTTACTTTTTTCTGTTCTTCAATTGAAGATTTTATACGTAGAATGCAAAAACACAAAATTCACATTGACTTTTGAGCTCAAGTGAGAGTGGGAAAAAGGAAAACGAATCAAACATTGAACGTTGTTATCAATGAATTGGCCTGAATTCCTCAAAATTGTTTCAATTTTTTTTGGTTTTTGATTAGATAATCCAATCGAAGTTTGTACTTTAAATTGCGTTTCACACAAAATGAGCATTGACTCAAACGGAAGGCCTGCTAAATTTAACCGAAAAAGAGAATGAATATGCATGATATTCGTGAAAAAGTTGTACAAACATCAATATTAATGTGTTTCTTGGAATCGTCACTTCAACTGCCATACGTAATTATCGAATCATCGTCGCGATACAATTACTAGACCTTCTCGCGATTGAATGTGAACACAACAAGACCGTTTGGTGTGTATTTGCGCCAATTGTAAAACAATTAGAGCAACAACAACAACAACAATAAATGCGATGCGGAACCCATTCCATACAAATCAATATTTGTGTCTCTCGAGTCGCTCTAAACGTGTTATATACAACGATTTACATTTTGAGTCATGACCATTTACTGCATAATGGCTCCGTTTGCGTTTATTACTATTATTATTCAATGTTGTTGTGTGTTTTTTTTCTCTCTATTTCTTGTGAATAGGATTTTAATGAACGGTTAATGCGTGCGTATATGAAATAGAATGACTCTTCATTACGACGACACCGACAATGCATATAGAGATACCGGGCAATTTGTTTGTCGTCGTAGTCGTTCATACGGCATACTATAAGAAAGCACACGGAATAAATTGTGTTTACAATGGCTTATGATAGGAAAAAAAATTGAGGCGAAAAATACACATTGGACATATTGTGTATAGAAAGTTACAGCAAATGATATTCAAACCGAAGCAAAAATGACAATAACAACAACAAGCAAACAGTACAGTTTCTTCAACCTTTTTTTTCTCTCTTTCGTCGCCGTTGTCGTCTTTGCCATGATTGTTGTTGTTGCTAGTTCGCTTATTGTACCAGCAATTTAGAATGGGCGAACAAATACCATTGCACACCAACACACAGTGTTTACACAAACTGGATATTCAAGTTTTGGTTCGGTCGAATCAGCGCGCAAAAGAGGCACATACTATTTATGCGATGTACAGTGAATACATAGACAGGCATACAAATAATCCAAGAAGAAATAAATGCACATAAATAAATTATGAAGATTTTGTTTCTTCTTATTCCTCTTTTTTTTGAAATATTATTTGTGTGCTGTTGCTCGTTCTCTCTCTCTCTACTGCTGCTGCACAATCGTTGTTGTCGTCGTCGTCTCTCGCCGTTGTCGATAGTTGAACTTTTTTTTTAGTCGAGTCATCATCTTAGTTTGTGTGTACGGCATTTGCTATCGATGTGTTGTGCTCGTTTCATTTGAAAGCACGCAAAATAAAAGATTGAAGAAGCCTGCATCTCTACCGCTAAATAGCACTCAACATGGACACGAGCAAGAAAGCATGTGAACGAATGTGGCGGCAGCCATTTTGGTTATGGCTCATGGTGCGTTTACAATGCTAGTATTAAAATTTAGATGTGTATGCGTTCAGTTGTACGCTATTAATGTAAGAAACAGGTTTGATTTTTGAGAATTTACGAAAAAGTTCGGAAATATTCGATATTCAAAAGATGACAATCCAAATATGGATCAATAGACAAGAAGTTTTGTTTCAGTTTTTAAATATTTATCGTTTATTGTATCATTTTTAAAGTGGCACTCAGTGACAGTGTAAACCCAGCCGAAATAATCTTACACCATTCTCTTTCTCTCGTACGTCATGCAAACGCACCTTGTATTTTCATTGTGAACGCCGTTCTTTTATTCTCACAATACATACGTCTGCACAATACACACAAGCACACACACACACACACAACACCATTGAAAGCCGATTGTATGGATATCCATGTTGTGTGACAGAGATGGTGCGCAGACATGCATACGCTTCACTCTCAAACATTTACTCACATTTACACTCACAATCGCTTCAACATTCGCATACACATACGCCAGCACCAATTGGAATGTGTGTATAGGCAGCAACATACACGACATCATCATCAATTTAATATAACCAATACCATTGTATTCGCATCGCGTACATTCCGAGTTTTCCACTAGCGCCAATATACTGAACTTGTTCGTTATTTAACTCATCCGAAAAAGAAAATGGCTGACGTCGCGCGAACAGCGTTCAGCATCGTAGTTCTTGCATAGGCAACACGAACGGCACGATATTTCTCAACAAGAAATTGTATTTTCCACGTTATATTTTCACCTTCTATAGTTCATCGACTCGGGCGCCTATTTAGTTTTTCATTCTTGTGTGTGCTTTTCAAACAGACAGAAAAAAAAACAATTTTATTTAAAATAAAACGAAAAAAAAAAAACGATTGAGAATACAAAAAAAAATTTAAAAATAACAAACGATTTACTATTTTCCGTAAAGTGGTTTAGTGTGTTTCGGAGAGAGAACAATTTGAAATAATAAACAGCATTCGATTGACTACAGAAAATCTACAAATTCAGCCGTTAGTTTCATTTTGTTGTTAAATACAAGCATACACTTTTTTCGTTGTCGTTGGTTTAGTGAGAATTTTGTGGTTTTATTACAATCGTAATTGCAATTTGCATATTTGTGTGTCAACCAAAAAAAAAAACCAATTTCTAAGAAATGAAACCAAAAAGTCCAATTACAGTTGAATAGTTGCTTGAAATTTCTGCTCGACGATAGACAATTTTTTTTTGCGTTGCGTTTGTGTGCAATATATTCAATTTATTGGAATCGAAAACCGAAAAAAAAAATTAATCAGAATTGAGCCATTGAACAATTGTGTGTAAATCGAAACCCATTGGAAACAGCGATGTGAGCAAGGAATTTTTCATCAAAGATTATTCAAAGCGTTGATTTTGAGCACACTGAAGGCTAAAAATCACGACCAATCAGTTTTTTTTTCTTTGTGCGTTTCTACGTGTATTTCTTTCATTTACACACGAGCCGTTGTATTTCTGGCTTCAAAGCAAACAAAAAGGTCAATTCAATCGAAACGAAAGCAGAACAAACGAAACATTCGAATCTAAAATTGAGATAACATTTCGAAAATAAACAGAAAACATATTTCTCCTTCAAAAAATTTGTTACAAGTTATAACTTTCAACAAATTTCAGACACGATATGAGTTACAATGAATCGAATGCCTTTTTATAATATGCTGTTGCTATGCTCATCATAATACGTGAACAATATATTTAAATTGAAGACGATTTTATTTTCTCGCAACAAAATTTCCATGAATTTATTCAAGTTATGCGCGTTTGAATGACAAATTTAAATTTATTTCAATTGAACTTTAACAAATATTTTATATATTGAAAGTGAACAATCGAAAATTGGCCAAAAATTGCTTGAAACTCAAACACATGGTGCGATTTCGTAAGCAGATCCGTTGAAAAATGATGCAATCATTATGTATATTTATTTAAAAGCAAGTTCCATCCATCACATCAGTTTCTTTAACCGAAAAATGTCAACCATAATTTTTGATCAAAAATTTCATAGCAAAAGTTTTTAGCTTGTTTTTTTTTTTCATTTTTTTTTCTCAAGGAAACAGAGACCCATATGTGTTGTCCACGTTTTCAAAAGAGCTGATGAAATCACCGTTGTAGCTCATATGTTGTGTTTTTGCGTTCTATTTTTTTCGTTTCTGTGAAAGAAACTATTGAATAGGGTTCTTCGATCTAAACATATATGAAATCGTGAACAGACACCATACTTTTTTATATATATAGGTTCATTGTGTTTAATACACTCAATATGCCTTTCTTTAATTTTTTTGTTCGATGTATCGTTTTGTACAAATATACGTATATCTTAGATTTTGCAACTGGCCACCTAAGATACAGTATAATTTATACATTTTAATTACAATTCAAACTGTGTTGGATGAATAGTTTTTGGATTTTTTTTTATTTGCCTGAATTGTATTTCTTTTACTCGGAGAACACACAGGTTGCATTTTGTATTGGAAATTACGTCAAAAATTTTATTTTTCACATTTTTATTTTTTTTTATAACCATATCGAATTTATGTCGAAATATAAGTTCAGAAACGATTTGGATGTGCGCGTTTTTTCGCATTATAAAAGTTTTCGGTTGTTTTATTTCTCGCCACATCTAAAACTGAAAACTACTCATTGAAAAGTCCATATGCCATTTAAAATCACATCTGTTAAAAGAAATTGTAGTGGATTTCTTCTTAAATGAATTTATATAATGGTTGATTCTATTTCACGAATGACAAATTCTAATATTAGAAGATGTGACTATTTTTCTCGTTCAAAGTTCAAATGCTTTGTACTAAAGATCTACATCATTTTGTGCATCAAGGAATGGTTTTTTTTCTCAAACAAAATGCACTTTCCATCGCAAAATATTACCTCATTTTCAAAAAGTTCTCTACAAAATCTTTTTTTGCAAAAAATTCATGATTTGAAAGATTTTCTACATTTTAATTGGATAAAACAGATTTTCTATCTATTTTTTTCGTCAGACATAAATTGTTTCTATAAAATGTTCGACTATTTCAATATGGAAGCACACACATTTCTCTGTTAAGTTTTAATAGTTAAATTATTTCTAGCGATTTTGATGAGTTAATAAAATGAAAGCAGTGACATGAATCCATCCAAAAGCGTTACTAATAATAAACTATTTTTTTATTTTTATTACAGAATTAAATGTTCATTTGTGTTTTGTTGTCAACGTCATCATCCAAAGTACGGATTTAATGTTAAAACATAACTAATTTGAGTAAAAAGAAATTTCATTAATTGGCTGTGTGTTTGCGTGGTATATAAAATTTCTTGCATTTATAAATTTAAAGAAAAATTTAAAAGAAAACGAAAAAGTATAATCGCCGTAATTCAAAGGGAAAATGAATGTGTTTTGTTTCACATGTAAAATGTAAAGTGTTTCGAAATAACAAGAAAACGGTCGATTTTCCGTAAAATTGATTCTTTAAACAAATTACAAACCAAATTGAAGAGTTTCACTTGATTTTTTATATGAAATACGAATTAAAGAAATCGATTTTCTTGGTAGTTCCAAGCATTTTGCCCATCGCATGGGTTACTCTCGGTCACGAGATTCAAACTACACAATCCACATCAATTTCATTGTAAAAAAAAACAAAAACCAACAAAAAAAATATTTAAACTTTTTTCTCTCTTTATTGACCTCTAATTTCAGTGTGAAAGTGAAGTTATTATATTGTAGTCGACGTCGATATCATAGAAAATTTAACTTGAAAAATAAATGAATGTGCTGAAGGAAATAAGAAGTGAAATAACAGCATAATTGATCGATGGAATCATATGATTGGTGATACTTTTTTTGGTGTTTGTGCTAAAGAAGAAAGGAGCAACCGAAAAAAAGAAGAAGCAAAAAATATATAATTCGAAAAAAAAAGAGAATTCCATGTGAATTGTTTTTTTTTTTCTTGCTCAAGTGCTGCGACAAAACAAAGTACAGAATCACAACGATTCAATCGTAAAAATTGAAACATAAACCAAGAATAAAGAAATAAAAAAAGAATAAAAAATTCATTAATTGAACCGGGACAAACGTAACAACGCATCGAATTAGAACGCGCAAATACCACATTTTCGATTTTCGTTTTGCTGTGCTTTGATTTTATTGAAAATGAGTGGTTTATAATGGTGCCCACGTCGGAATGAGATGGAAGCGGCTATACGTTCAGTTCAGGTTGGCCAGAGGGCTGACGCTGCGTCTTCTCAACCACCAGCATCCATTTCGTATCAACAAAGAATACCATCTGGAGCATCGCCAATCCATAGGTAAGCATTATTATTTTCATTTGACGATTACTTTCTACCACCCATACCCAATATCTAAACTCCAAACAAAGCCAAGAGTCCAACTTTTTCAACAATTCAAGATTCGATCCAAAATCAGCATTACTCATGCTAGAATTGTCCATGAACCTTCCTCTATTCTTGATTTCTCTCTCTCTCTAGTTTTCGACGAAATTTCGTAATACGACACAAAAAAGAAATAAACTACACAACACTTATTCGTGACAACATACAAAACGTGACCGCACATTTGACACCAAAAACTAGTTCGAATTTAATGAGATATTTGCGAACACTTTTTTTTGTCTACAAAACTAGTTTAAACGATAGATAATTGCACAAATATAACAACATAAAGAGCGAAAGAGAGAACTAAATCGGTGTAACTTACTGACAAAGTCTATTTTAACATTCAATTTGGTAGTCACTTACTTTTTGGGTTGATAAAGTAATGCAGTAAAGTGCAAAGGAAAATACCAAGATTCGTTCATTTTGCACTCATTATAATATGAGTCTGCAAAAGAATCATTTTTCATTTCGTGCATTTATTTTTCGTTCTGGCATGATCAAATACATTTGGCTTTTTTCTTCTGTTTTTATTGCCCTGCGATAAAAAGAATATTTGTGCTTCCCATTTGTGGGCGAATGAACCTTAACCGACCAGCATTGCGATAGCAAATAAAATCTTTTTGATGTCTTTTAAACTGCTTCAATTTTGTTTCATTTCAAGACATCAATCCTAAAAGTTTCTCTCTCTCTCTCACTCTCGCTGGCATTCATTATGAATTTATTTCCATTGTGACCGAGCTGAAAATCAACCGTCAAACCGTAACAATTAATGAAAAATACCTTTTAAAACTTTTTTAAAAGTTAATTTAAATACAATTTTCGCATTGAGATGGAATGTTATTTAGTTTGAAGTCAAAACGAATGGAATTTTCCACATCGAAATGTGAGGGAAATGCCAGAGCAATTCGTTAATTTTTTTGTTTCTTTGTACAAAAGTATAAAAGATAAAATGTGCACCTGTTCTTGTTTGATTGAGCTTGTTTAACAAAATTCCCATTGAATTTTGACTAATGGTGAAAAGCATTTGCAAGTGGGTACAAAAATTAGGAAAAATGTATGTATATGTATGGCGTCATTTGTGTGACTTGGATCTACACAAACACTTAAACACACACAAAAGACATTTATTTATTCGAAATGTAATTTTGCTAGACGATGCGGGAAGCGTACATTCAATTCATTATATTGCCTCGAATCGGACGGTTTTATTTTAATGTCGCTGTACAACTATGCAATTCAACGAGCATATGGTAAATATTTTTATATGTCTGTGTGCATGTGTATGTGGATTTTTATGATGCGGATGCTAAGCCAGTGCTTGAATTTGTCAAGTTCATAAGTTTGCACGAAAAATCGATACAAGAGACAATTTGAAAATGTTGACAAATGGCATTTGGCAGCAAATTATTCTCTCTTCGTCGCTTTTTTGCTGTCAAACATTTCTCTCTGCATCACTTGCAACCATTGCGAAAATGTCTGTTCACTCAGTTGGCATTTCACATTGGACATTTTTAACAACACATCCATTTGTCTTTTGCTGATTTTTTGGCCATTTTTCTTGAAGGCATTTGTTTTGCGTTTCTTTTTTCCACTTAATTTTTTATATATTACATTTTCTGTTCAATATTTGATGAAAAATGATCTTATACCGATGTATTATGTGCTCATTTCGGTGACTGAAATTTATCAAACGCCATTTGCAAAGGCTCATGGCGAGAGTAATTTAAGATAAAGACTTAAAGAGTTCGATTACCTTTGTTCAATGATTTTTTTTAAATAAATATCAGTGTTATGGTCAAATGCAATTTACACATCGTTGTGTCGACCGTTGATATCGACTAAAATGAGAAATTGCGCGTCTTATGAATACAAAAAGCAAAGCAAACCGAAAAAAAATGAAGAATGAGAAAGAAAAACAACGACGAAATGAGTAAAACTACTGACCGTTGCTATTCCGAAATAATGGTTGCAAACGATGTCAATTGCTCTTATTACGTGAGTTGATTGCAGTACACACAATACAACACACATTTTTATTTCAAGCTGGCGCGCACACACACACATTCGAAGCGTATTCGGCATTTATATATCGAAGCGAAAAAAAATATTATGCGGTTTTTGTGCCAATTTTGTTTATTTTCCCTTCTTTCTTCTATCATTATTCTCATTTCTCTTCGTCATTGTATTCACTTCTTTTTCTCGATGTATTTTTTTGTTCTTCTATAATTCGTTAATTCCTTATATTTTGCGGGTCTTGTGGCAACTCGCCATTGCCATATGATTGATCTATTTTTTGATTCTGTCGTTTGCACATTAATTGCTTGCATTAGCAACAACAACAAATGCGTTTTTACCAATTCCAATATAATTTTTTTCTTTTTTCAAAGAAATGTACAGAACGTGAACACATTAAATTACAAGCGCTGTCATTTTGCTGGCAAAATAGAAGGAAAATGACAATCAAAAAAGTCATATTTTCTTCGGGCAAAAAATAACGTGCGGTTAGAAGTCATTTTCAGTAAATTGACGTCTTTACAGTGCGACTGCACCGAAATTATGTTTAAACTGTCAAACAACTAGCGCCACGACGGAATTCAATGTAATCTATACTAACCATAAGATATCGCCAACTCGTGAAAATACATTTGTTCGGCTGCAAACAGCTGATTAGAACTCCTTAGTCGTCCGTAGTGGCACTAGCTACGCTACAGTTTCATATTTTATACAATTTCTTGTGTGACAAAATTGCAGTGTGAATGTAATATTGTGCAAATTCACGCAAAAATGTCATTGCAATTTTATCGGAATTACCAGAGCAATTTTTGTTTATTGCGATAAAAAACCCTTAATCTAACCAAAACTATTACAGCCAGATGGAAAGAATTCACATTTATCGGTATATATTGTAAAATTTATAATTTGAACATTTTTATTTTGGTATATAGTGCATGTAATTCATAAATATCTGTAATAGAAAATACATGCAATATGTTCACTTGAAATCGTTCTACATTCAAATGCACCTGATTCGAAGCCATCGAACAGATTTTTTTAAAGTTTCAACCGAGTATTGATAGCGTGCAAATCATATTTATAGTTTGACCAAAGCACCATACAGCGATTATAATTTTGAAAAACAAAATTATTATTGGCAAACCGATAGACGATTTCATTACATGCGATCAATTTGGAATTTGCCACGCGGTAAATCCTCTACTCACCGACAAACATGGCATCGGCTACGCATAATTGCAACAAAGAGTGTACGTAATTTAATTTTTGTTGAATGAATAAAACCAAAACCGTAAAACCAAGTCAATAAAATACTTGGATCGACAGAAAATAAAATATATATCTATGTATTGCGTTCAATTTGTAATGGGTGGTGCCGTTCGATTCCATAAGGAAATACGAGCAGAGTACATACAAGTACACACACACCAATCGCACAATAAATAAAATAAAACAAAAACCAATTCCACTTCATGGCCGAGCTACAGAGTGGAAGAAGAAAAAACAACAACGTATTTTACGACATGAATTGAATATGCGCATCAATGCAGCTGTTGCACTGCGTCTACGCATCATACTTTCGAAATTGTCAATTCCATATGCTGTATGTATCGAATGAAGCATGGGGAAGGAAAATTTAAAAAAAAATATTATTGAATTCAAGTAATCAACTTTGTAATAAAAAAAAAAACAGAAGAAGAAAGCTGAAAACTTGAACGGCTCGGTCATAGAAGTTAATTGCGAAATTTTCAACGGTGATTAGATAACGGAAACTATATCAGGCAATTATACAGACGATTGTGCTGCCACAAGCAAACGAAATAAAAATGCGAAAATGAGAGAGAAACAAAAAAAGAAAACAAAACAAATATTTATTGACCTAATGATAAGAGCGCAGCTCGATTCTCCATTTTTCGATATCAGCCATACGTTTGTTCGTGTCTATCTATCTATATAAATGAACAATTCATGCTGATATTTACAATGACGACAAACTCATTTCTATTTCATTTGGTGGATTTACAGCCAATTTTTGTCCCAGTCGTTGTTGGCACTGTTTCAAATAAATGCATGTGAGTGTCTGTATCTGACAATCTCATTCGTTTTCCCAATCAAAATCACTTTTTTCGGTTTCAGTTTGTTTTTTCGTCGCGAGTTTTTCGAAGCAGAGCATGTAAATACATGTAATCACAGCTATATAGTAAAAATATCACAAATTTTCCCAACAGCAGCACCATTTCACAAATGTAATATGAGCACACTATGTGCCACCCATATTACTCATAAATCCGTTATATTATCCATGTTATTCACTATTTTTCTGCGAATTTTAATAGCATGAAACAAAAATTGACCATAAAATCAGAACAAAAAAATCTTACTTATACTAATCCAATCTTAATTTTTTATGTGTTCATGTACCTTGTCAATTTACACAAGTCTGGCAAAATACAAGTGGCTGAAACAAAATTAAATGCCAAAAAATTCGTTTGAATATTTTTTATGGGTTTACTAAGTAGATTTTCTCACAAAACTCATCTCACTCTTCAGAGAACAACGATGTCCATTTAGAATGTCGACGAAAAAAAAAATTATTGATTTGTCTTCAAGATTTCCGCATGGAAAAGCTGCATTTTTAACGCATAAATCTGGGAACTCGAAAATGTTGAAGAAGAAGAAAACGAAAGAAACTCGAGCGAAATTACAGTATTTATTTTACATTTATGATAACACTTATAGCAATGTTGATTATAATCATTAAAATAACAATTATCATTAATTTTCTTATGAAATTTGACATAGACATGAGCGAGTCAAGTGTGCACAATATACTTCAATATTTCGTGTGTCATCAGTTTTTTTTTTTGATTAAATAATATAACAAAAGAAGATAGTCTTCA